GCGCGGTAATTGAGATAAATTATAATAGATTAAGTATGCAAAGTAAAATATATGAGTCACGCACAATCTTGGCTTTATTTTATTTTTCAGAAGATTAAGGAAGGCAAACCAAATCTCTAGGCGTTCTTGGCTTTGAACGCCTGTACTTACGTCACTATTATTTCATCCATGTTTATAGGAAGTTTTCTGCTTGAATTGACTCTAGGAACACGCTCTCTTAGTATGTATAGTTCATCATAGGACACCCTGTACAATACTCTTTAACTCTAGAATCCTAAACATGAAAAAGTTACGTAAACCCGGAACGCGGGTTTACGTAAATTTTACCCAGCGCGTTTTCATTTGCTCATAACTTCTGTAAAAATGACGAAAAAAGTTATAACAAGAGAGAGAAAACACATGTTCTTAAAGACGGTAATGTTCGGAAAATTGGTCTGGAAAAATCATACCCATGTTTAAGGTTCTAGAGTTGATTCTAGGATGAATTCCGTAATTATTTACGACAGTGCGCCACACAGAACAGTGTCACAGCTTCAATACAATCACAATTATAAAGAGTGACTCTCTTTATTTTCCGCTGCTCTAAAATTCATTCGACAATAGGAATTCATTCGTTATTGAATGCCTAATAAGAGGAGGCAATGAGTACATATTTTCGCGCTTAGAGAAGACGACCGGTGCGTTCTGCGCAGAAAACGCAGTCGTTCGAGAGTCGACAAAAATCTATTTCCGATATTCAACGTTGAAAGCTCCAAAATTGGCAATCGAAGCCCAGCGTTTTCGCAAAGCCCGGTGTACACGACATAAAGAGACCTCGCGTAACTCGGCCGTAAAAAAAAGTGAGAGAGAGAGAGAGAGAGAGAGAGAGAGAGAGGAAGAGAAAGAGAGAAAGCTAGCGGCTCGCAAAGTATCCTTGAGCGATCCGCGTTGCTTATCGGGGCTCGAACCGAGCAATGAATTTTTACGGAAGGCCGATAAGGTTGTACACTCGCGCGGAGGAGAGCGACCGGAAAACGCCCGATAGGATGCGCGCAACCGGTGGGTGGGCGACGAAAAAAAAAGGAAAAAGGAAGAAAAAAAAGCAGCACACGGAAGATTTATTCCGCGCGTATCCCGCGCGGCCGATACGGCCATCGATTTTCCGGCCGCGCGCCTATCGCACTGATTTCGCCCGCCACAAGAACGAGACGCTTTTGTGCGAAACGAGTCGCCCGTTGTACCCTCACCTCACCCCGTCGCCGAGAGCAACGAGACAATCGTGGATCGACGAGGATTGCCGCCGCTCGACGCTTAATCTCGCCCTCTTCCTGTTCGTTCCAACGGCGATTTTGAACCCGACGTCTCGTCCGTTTCAATAAATGGCGAGCCGTTCCATCGCGAACGTTACGCCGGATATTTCGATATGTGTGTGTGTGTGTGTATCTGTGTGTGTGTCACGTTATACTTCGGCCGTGTTCCCTTTCCGGCGAGATGTCTCCTGTTATTGCCAAAAATCGCGTCGTATCATATTGCGCCCGTGAAAAAGTTCATTACATGTACACGGAGAGAATATTGTATATTTTTTCTTTCATATATAAATTTTTCCCAATTTTCCTATATTTCTGATAGTGCAGAAGTATATTGTGAGTAAAGTTTATCTTGTTAAGGAAACACAGTCAGTTTTACTATAAACATTGGAGAAAGACGTTTGAACCATTTTTTCAGATATTTTTCTCTCAGTATTAACAGATTTTGGATAACACTGTTTAATAATTTAATTTTTTAAATATAAGTAGCACATATAAGATGAAAGAATAATTGGTTACTGCAGAATGTCAATTTATTATTAGGTTGCAAAATTCCATAGTAATTTTTACCATAAAATTCTTTCCGAATAAATTTGTATCACGTGCGCGAGTTTCCCTGATCAATTTAATTTTCAAAGACAAAACTTTCAGTGTAACGATAATCCAGCAAACACAATAATATAACAGTTACATCGTTGTAATATAATGGAATGTAACGTGCAATATAACATGTTTGTTACATATAACATACATGTTAGTTATAATTTCCCACTCTTACGAAGTTGCATTATATAACAGAAATATAATTGGTTACTGTTATATGGCTGTTATATATATTGCTGAAATGTTATATAGCCGGAATGTAAATTATTATTTCCCAGCAATCATAGGCATTTAATTGTACACAGAGATTACGAGCTATCACTATCAATTAATTTGTAAAAATATGGTCCTAAAAATATCATAATTATACAGAGTGTCCCAAATTCTCCTTATCACATTAAGTGGGAATGTAGAACGGGTTGAGATGAATATAAAAGGTATACATATACCGTTTTGCGATATTCGTAATAATAAGCGAGAAATTAATTGTAAAAGATTAAGGAAAAACGCACGCTGAATGGTTGAGGGTGGAGCGCTCGCGGCCTAATTAATATAGCGCACCGATGTCAGCGCGCGGTGATTGGAAAAACAACGCACCATTGCCTATACTTATATTACTGCACTCCTACATCTCGTCTCGGCGCGGTGCGGCAAGACGTAGGGTCAGAGCGATATAAGACGCGCGCTGACATCTGCCTGCTATATTGGGACATCCTGTATATTTCGATCAAAAATATTTTTAGTAAAGATAATAGCATAAAAGTATCTTGCCATTCTAAATTAATTAGCTCCCAAATAACACAAGATATTCCAGAATCATCCTAGAGCCATTCTAGGCGTTTGGTCCTCAAGCATTTTATGCTATTAGAGCTATTTTTATTTATTCATTTACATCTCTCTGTACATATTCGAATGGAAGGGATTATTGTAACAGTAATTTCCATTGATCAAAAAGTGTACCACTTCACTTTACTAATATAAAAGTGGATTCCATAGTACAAGTTGTGTCGTTTTGTGATCATCATTCTTATATATACAGGGTGTTCCGCGTAAAACGGACCAAAAGAAAAATATAAGTAGAATACATTAAAGTGAACAAAAATTATATAGGCCATTTTTCAAACAACCACGTAAAATTTCGAGATATTAATTAAAATAGTTGAGCATATCAGAGCGCGGCGACGCGGCAGGCGGGACATACGGCTCGCCGCGGCCGGCGAAGAAAATGGATGATTGCTCGCGGGCCTATCTTATAGGCCAGAGAGGTGGGCCGTTTGGCATACTGAAATGAGTAGCTCCGTGTGTGCGTCCGTGTATGTATGCGTTCTTCCATTTTCTTCGTCGACCGCTGCGAGCCATATGTCCCGCCTGTCGCATCGCGCGTTCTAATTTGTCCAACTATTTTAATTAATATCTCGAAATTTTACGTGGTTGTTTGAAAAATAACCTATACAATTTTTGTTCACTTTTATGTGTTCTACTTATATTTTTGTTTTGGTTCGTCTTACGCGGGACACCCTGTATATTAATGCATCATATTTCATGTATGAGAAAGACGCGAGAAAACGGAAGCCATCTAGCGAATGATCCGATACCTAGATATAAGAATGCTATATAACATAGATGTAATGCGAATAAACGCTTGTTATATAATCTGTTATATTTTAGTTATGTTGGTGTTATACAATTATAACCTGTAAGTATTAGAGAATTATAACAGTTTTAAAACACAGTTAGATTGCAGTTATAAAAGAAAATATGTAACTTTAACATTATGTAACTTTAACATTAATAACATATAACATCCGTTATATTACATGTTATTTCTATGTTATATAATAGTTATATTCTGTGTTTGCTGGGAAGTTACATTATAATATTTTGAAGGTACTGCGTCAAGTTTGTTGTTGCGTCGCCTACACTTTACAGTCCCCCGTAAAAATTATTAAATTATTTATTGGCCATATTAATCACGACATCTCGCCATTCACAGAATTTATTCATTCTCTTTGCGCGTGCCGAAAAAAATAACGCGCTTCTCATCCCACCGGTATATGTCGCGGGGTGTAATAAGCGTCCCCCTCGTTAGCCTGACAGAATTTAAATCTCGAATACTCCATTATCCCTCCATCTCGCCTAGCGCTCGTGTGAATGCGCGTGTGTGTATGTGCGTGCACATACACACGCATAGCGCGGAGTGCACGGGTCAGCACGGCGTATCGTTCTAAAGCAGAACTCGAAGAAGGATCCATTAACGATGCTGTCGTCGTTAGGACCGTTTCACGTGGACGTATAATTCACTAACGACGCGACGAGCCTGTCCACTTTTGATATCGACCTCGTTACGCGAAGTATAGAGAATCGTCGAATAGGGCATTATATTTTGTACATATAAAGGGGAAGAGCGTTGACCGAAATGAAGGAGTGTAAAATAAAAAAAAAAAAAAAAGAGAAAGAAGGAACATACGAAAAGTATCGATTGCAAAAAGAGAAGGTAAAAAGTGGCAAAATCAACGAACGTCGGTTAATTCGCAAGAAAAATGTTTGCTTAACAATCGTGTTTGCTCAGCTTTAAAACGTCGCGTTTTTCGGAGAGCAGCATTAACTAATTAACAGCTACCGACCCGACAAAGCAAACAGTCATTTTTCAACAATATTTTCCCAGACGCAACGATTTTTCGAGCCGGCTCTTGCCCTTTATTTTGTTTTTATCATCGTAACGAATAATTCGCCAGATTGCGTCTAAATTATTACGCTGTTTATTACATCACCGTGCACCTGTCGATCCGCGCGCCGTGCTGACGTCGATCGACAGAATGACGCGAGAGAGAAGAAATCTCGGACAATGATCGACGGGACGCGGCGATGCAGTCATTAATCCGAACCGCTGTAAGATGGACGCGCCGCGGAGGAGAACACGGAAGAAGAGACGAGAAAAAAAACTGGTCACAGTGTACGTATCGAAGAGGGATATACGTGACGCGTCGTATATGGTGCTCCCACGGGAGGTTTTCCTCTCTCGATTCCCTCGATTCCCCTCTGTTCCTCGCAATATCCACTTATCGACATCCCTCGTCACAAGACGTGCGTTACCGCGGAAATGATACGTACGTGTCGGTGAAGCCGCTGGCGCGCCGTTTCTCGACGACGACGATGAGGAGTCGCCGTTGCGACCAACGGATCACGCACGGATCTATTCCCTCGAAATTCCCGTGGTATATCTCCGACGCGGTGAGAGAACGCGCGCGGGAGTGTACGTCAGATTTTCCTCGGTTTGTATATCAGAATGTATATACGTATTCAAAATTCGAGCGCGCGTTATATCCGGACGAAGCGCTCGAGAGCGACTGACTCGCATGCGAAGGCCGGTAACGACGAGACCGACAGGAACTCTTTAATATTGAAAACATCGCGTGGGATCCATTATTCAGGGCTTGTTTGGAGTCGTAACGACGCGCGACGTAGACGTAAAATTCTATAGCGCGTCCACAGACGCGTTTCCATAAATTTCCTATAGACTTTCCTATGCGACCCTCGCGAGAGGAAGTCGCACAATGCGGAAACGCTCTCTCATAGAAATATCAGACAACGGGTGGCCCTTCGCGTAGTGATCTACATACGAATACGCGAGCGCATACGCGTGCACGATGTGTAAATATTAATAATATTTGCAGCGAACACGGTTCCACTATTGCACGGCCGAGTGCGCGCAGTTACGCGATATGTACGTTTCGTGTCTCTTTAAGGACTCGTCTTCTCAGCTGATGCGCGGAGAAAGGATTCAAGCGTGACTTATTCAAACTGCGGAAATCATGTTAGAGACCTGAGCAAATTCGTTAAATCGTCGTCAATATATCATTAACTTGGAAAATGAGTCAGACAATTATCTAAAAGAGAAAAAAGTGGTGAATCGCGACGACAGATATTTACTTTAAGGAATTTATTCACCGGGTATTTTCAATAGCATATCACAAAAGAGCTACTCATAAATTCACTATTTATCGAACAAAATTAATATAATAACGTTTTTATAATATAATAACATTTTTTAATATAATAACATTTTAATATAATAACATTTTAATATAATAACATTTTCATATATTTCACTATCTGAATAATAAATATTAATTTGATACCAATTTCATAATATTACTGTGCCATCCATTCAACGTTATTTAAACTGTAAAAACAGTCGTTTTTTAGCTTACAATCGACCATTATATAAAAACAGCGTATAAGTACTTTTCTTTCTTTAATGCGTTTCTTAATACGTAACATTTTTAATGGAAAGGTTTTTGTTTGATTGATATCACACACACACACACTTTTTACATTACACAAGTTACATTGGAATAATAATCATCTATATTGCTTCTACCATAAGATTATATTTGCAACATTATGATATGCGGAATTAAATTTCTCACGAACGATGCAAATAAATCTCCTGAAATCTTACTACAAAGATATCTTTGGCTACGATAAATATTACGTTAAATTTTTACACAATTTAAGCATTTTTTTAAAGCGAATAAACTCTTTAATTGAACATATAGTGTATTATTTCATTATTACTAAAAAAGTGGCTAAAATTATTAATAAATTATTATTAATAAAAAAGTGGCTAAAAATTTCACAAACTTTTTTGCAACCTATTATATTCGAGATTAATATTTCGGTGTTTCTGGATTTTCTCGCCAAGTAGATTCGCGAAATTCCAAGGAAAAAAGGTGTAATCGAGAACTAATATTTCACAGTTGCTTCCGTCCGGATACTTGCAATTAATTTTTCAGCCAAAAATACAAACAGTTACGTTAACTCTCTTTCCGGATACACACATTCACGTGCACACACGCACGCGCGGGCTCCAACAGCGAGTGCAAGTTAAATATTTAATTAATACCTAGGACACTTTCCGTAGCGAGTACCTGTGCGATTATCCGAGTGTCCGCTCGAGATAGTGGCGAGCGAGCGGCACGTCTGAGCATATGTAATTTATGGCACGAACTTCCTGTATTTATTTTAGCCCCGTCGCGCGGAAATTAACAGATATCACAAACTGGTAATTTTCAAGTAGCATATGTTTCGTTTCAACTTACTTTGATGGGTCCCGACGGTTCAACCAGAGGGGTCACGCCACAACCAGAAACGGCTCCTAAAACATACAATGAATACGCAAGTGAGAAATATTCTCGTATCATTCGAACTCCTGTGCTGCTTTTACACATATGCCGTTCTTTTAATCTCGCTTTCTCTGATATAAAACGATCACGCGACCTCGGATGACGGGGAAACAAAGTTGACACGAAAAGCGCATCGTTTATGATCATCAACTTTACCGCGCAATTACAATTACCAAGATTAAAGCATAATAATAAAAAATGTGCTACGATCCAGGCGGTTTACGTAAAGTCTATTTATACAGTCTAGATCGTTACACAACTAGAAGAGGAGAGAAAGAGAGATAGAGTATGTGTGAAAGTAATCGCGATGTTGTGTTTCATTAACTGTCGGAAAAAAGAAGGAGAGAGAGAGAGAGAGAGAGAGAGAGAGAGAGAGAGAGAGAGAG